GCGTCTTTCAGCAGGAAGAGGTGTGGTCCAGTTGCTATGTTACCAGAGAGAAACGGCACTACATCAGTTTGAACTGCACTACATCAGTCTGAACTGCACTACTGTGCTGCAGGTGATGGACACGGAGCCCTCAAAAGTTGCTTCCCTCTATCTGTGAAACACCACCCTCTTTCCAACAGCTTCCTGGTGCTTCCGTTTACTGAAAAGTGCAGGACAAAGTTTCTCAGTATATTCTAGCAACTTCTACTGGGCAGAAAGCTTATTGCAATTGCTTTGTTTTCATGCTGGGAGGCAATAAGTGTATGCACATTAGCAAGGTGTTAAATAGTTAATTCGTTGTAGCAGCTTGAAATACGGTGTGATGCTTCAGCTTTGTACACCACCCTACTTCATTCCCCAGCCTGCATGCCTCTGCAAACAATGTCACAACAGATGTGTTCATGCTGTGCAAGTGGAGAAATGTTTGCTTGGTACCTCTTGCCTACCTCTCTCCTGTACTTTGCATTTAAAACTTAGTGGGTTTATTTCAATCACAGACTGCAAACCCCTGGATATGCCTGAGACGCACCAGGGTATTTTGACAAGCAGAAGAGTCTCTCCCTGTTTCTCCCTGGAAAACTCAGTCCCTCTGGTTAGCTCCAGAATGCAAAGTCAGCCAACAGAGCACAGAAGACTGCTGGAAACCCAGGAGTACATCTAGAGACTCACCCTAGTGCTTTTTTGATATCCAATTGGGCAATCACAAGTAAAAGCAAACACATAAAGGCAGCTTTTTTGGAATCATTTATTAAGCATCATTTATTACATGCCTGTGGCTGGACCTTCTTTCCCTGTGATCACAAGAATCAACTCTTCCTTAAAGTTGCCACCAGAAGACTAGTTACAGGCGTCAAATTCAGAAGGCTCTCTTGGTTGCTTGGTCTTTTGGTGTCTGTTTTTTCCTGGGTCTAAATGGAGCAAGTGCTTCAAACGTTGTGACTTCACTTGGATGAACTCAGACAAAGTAACCTGCAAAACAGACAAGGCTGAAATGTGAGTACTCCAAATCCTAATAAAATAAGCAAGTGGTGAACGTAGCAAAACATGAGAACTTACTTGGCTGAAAAGGGAAAATCATAAAGGAGCACATATCAGTCTCATCCTTGAAGGAGCAATGACTGCAGCTGCTATACTGTCTCTTAAACTGACGTTTGAAATGAAACAGGTATGATGCAGTGAACTGCAGCTATGTACTGCATAACTAATTGTAGCTTATTGGAAAACATTAAAATATGATGCACATGAAGAGCTGACATATCAGAGCTCAGAACAACACATCCTCTTGTGCTTAACTTTTATGGGAAAAAGTGGATTTTGTTGGGAAGAAAAAACAGCTAAAACTGAAAGCCTGTACAGAATTCCAGCCATTAAAATACTAAGAATGTAAAATACTTCTGTCTGCCACACCTATTCCCTCACCGTTAACAAAGCTTGGCAATATTTAACTGGAAGTGTCAAACATTGCAACATGTGGGTCATAAAAATAACACAAAAATAATGTGTGAAAACCTCAGATGCAGGAGTGCACTAATGAGATGCCAGTGGAGAAAACTCTTGTTATTTGTGGAGAGGAGTAGGGCTAACTAAGGATTGCCAACAGTATCTTACCTCTAATCACAAATCATAGAGTAGCTTGGGTTGGAAGGGACCTTACAGCTCATCCAGTCCCAACCCCTGCCACGGGCAGGGACACCTTCCACTAGAGCAGGTTGCTCCAAGCCCCTGTGTCCAACCTGGCCTTGAGCACTGCCAGGGATGGGGCAGCCACAGCTTCTCTGGGCACCCTGTGCCAGCACCTCAGCACCCTCACAGGGAAGAGCTTCTGCCTCAGAGCTCACCTCAATCTCCCCTCTGGCAGGTTAAAGCCATTCCCCTTGACCTACCACTACTTGCTCTTGTAAATGTCCCTTTTACAAAGCTGTGTTACTTTGCAAACTTCTGCTGTGCTTCATAGTGTTACCTTTCTGTTTCTTATGAACTGTCTGGGAAATGAGCAAGAGCAACCAGTGAGATACTCAACATATTCTACGCACAGACGTGTGCTCTCATGGTTAAATGCAGTTAGAAAAGAACTGGTTTACTTCTGAACCTTGCTATAATGTACATGTAAATACTGGAATTAATATTGCTGTCAAGTCAAAGTTGTCCTGTATGGTATAATCCATAATCGCATTGTGCATGGTGTACACCCACTACTCTCATTCTGTCACATGCTGGACAGGCAGGGCATAAGCAAAGAAAAAAGCTACTTCTGCAATGCCCTGAGCACACGTAAATCCATCTGGGAAACTCCTTTTCCTTTTGGTGTCAAACCCAGGTTCTATGCCCCTGGCTTACCTTTGTCAGCTTCAGTTCTTCAATCTTCTTCCAGGAGCAGGTTTTTTTCCTTTTCAAATGCTCAAAGTAATAGATGTGCAATACTGGGCAACACGGCTTGTTGTGGTGCTGGGAGATCCAGAACACTGGTTCTGCAAGTCCACCCACACAGGCGAGATGGAAAAACCAAAACAAGATAAGGAAATTCCACTTCTCTGTGAAATGCAACTGCACAGCTATTAAAGGTGGGAAAGCAAGAAAATTAGAGGACCACACATGAATACAACATACAGAAAAACCAACCGGGTGCCTATTTTGCTCTGCTGGAAGAGGTTCTGTTTGCCTCTAAACCTAAGCTTTGTGCTGGGATAAGGAGCGACAGCAGATAAACCAGTCTGAACAAATACTACCACACAGAAACCTGTGATTTATTGGAATAAAGGTTCTAGAAGCAAGAACATAGGTCACTATATAATGCAATTTATGAGACAATCAGAAAATCACTCAGATGCACTGAAACACATCCAGCTTGAGATCCTTTTTACATTAAACACAGGTTGGTGACACCTTAGAGCCATTTTTGCTCCCCTATCCCAGCCCTCCCAGTTCCCCATCTGGTGCTGATACTTCCCTGAAGCTTCATCACACAGTATCAAAGTCAGTGTAAGCTGGGGAAGGGCTCACTGAAATATTTAGAGAGAGTTCCACACAATCCTTGGAAACACACAGTGTAACATGGCAATGAAGATCTCCAGAACAGTATTAGGTTTTCATCTTATGTTCCTCCAGCAGGACTTGCAACATCCCTTAAACGCATCCTTCTAGAAATGTATTGCAGGGGAGAGCTGCCCTACTTCGTAGCACCTAAAGCTAAATCCAAATTCCCTCTCAGCTCCCAAGTTTCAGGTGCAGACCATCCCATACATCACCAGAATGTATCTGTTACAAACACCAGCCCAATACATTCCAGTTCCACCTGCACCCCAGAAACAGCATAGTTTGGCTAATGGGGTTACTGACAGCAATTATTCTCAAGTTTTGAAATAGTAATAATAAACCCCCCAGCATTTCAGAAAGCAGCAGTATGCAGATACATGAAATTGCAAGTCTATGTATGGAAAATGCCTGACATTTTAACACAGTGATGGGGTGAGCTATCAGGGAAGATAACCATGCTGGTTTGGTGAACTTATTCCACACCACTTCAGCTGAAGCATCCTTTTCTCAGTGGCTGCATGAAACCCACAGGGAGCTGCAGAAGCAGGAGTCGAATGTATTAGAAAAGGTTGTTTCAGGTGTTACAGAACATTTTACGAACTTGCTGAGGACACACTCAGGTAGTAAATTATTTTAACAACAGTTTAAGAAAAAGCTCCAGAAACTTTTGCCACAGCCA